CAGCAGGGAGGGTTTTGAACTTGCACCCTGCCCTTAAAGGCTTTTATTTTGTATTTCCCACATTAAAAGTGTAGCATGAAGGAATTTTATTGCCCTGAAAGAACATAATGGACCGAGTTTGAGCCCTCAAAAATGTGGGGGTTATTTCTGCAAACCTCACCTGCTAAGACGGCGGGTTTCTACATGTTCTCTAAAGGAAAAGATGCTCTCTCTCTCTGTTTAAAACAAACATAAAACAGTTTCATGTGGTCCTCTTTCTGCTCAGGTCTTCTGTTAAACCCGTGTCTGAAGGTTTCTGACCCTTTTAGGTGATGATATTTCAAATCATTTGTGATTCTCCTGACCCGCTGGCACCGCGGCGGCCCTTCTTGGCCCTCGATTGGCATCAGGGGAGATCCTGATTCACAGAAGCCATGGCTGCTCCTCAAACCCGCCGGCAGATGCTCCCTCTCTCCTGCCTCGCCAGCCGGCAACGAGCCTCCTCTGACATGCCTGTGTGTCTGTCTGCCTGTCTCAGTCTGTCCATTCGTCCGTCCATCTGCCCGTCAAAGCCTCAAACCGGGGTTATAAAAATGCACCAGGGTATTTAAGTGGCGCTGAGTTATTAGCCTCCCTGTGTCGGATATTCAGGGTGCTAAAAAATAATATCTAAAACGCGGAAAAAAAGGTTCATGGAGGCAATATGTTCCTATGAATCATTTATTGGCTGACGTGTTTCAGTGCCCACATTGGCTGATGAATGATTGATGGTTGCAACATGTTGCAGTAGCGAGCCTTTTTCCTGTCTTTGGAAGGATTAAACCTACAAATTCAACGTTTGGGTCAATTACAGGCCACTGTCACCAAGTAAGAGTAAAGAATTAAAAATACAGGTAAAGAGATTATCGGGAAGGTCGGGGTGGAAATTTACTCCTAATTTTGGATTTACAGTTTATGATTTCACTGTTTTTGTTGGTGTTTATATCTGTGATCGACTAAAGTTGCTTTTTCGTGTTAATCAAAACATCCGTATCTGAAGTATTTGAGTTTTTGCATGTCTGAGCCGGCTTCGGTTGTACGCAGACGACGCTCTGTTTGCAGGAAACCAGAATGCAATCCCATAATTTGGCTTTTTTATCATCATTATTAGTTTAGAAGATAAATCTGCACATTAAGGCAGAAAACAGCCGCTTATCGACGTCTTAACTTTAAACCTGCAAATGAAAAAGGACGATATGCAGAAGCGACTTTTGTTTAAACTGTAAGAGACACCGTTTACCATAATTCAACATTTTCATCATGTCTTCATCCAAACCATAAAACTGAATCCCTAAATCCAGATCAGAGAGGTTGTGTTTTGTCAATTCTCCCCATAAAGATGTCAACATGATGAATAATTGAAGGTGTTTTATTGGAAATGTGAGCCGGCTGGAGCTCGCAGAAAGATTGTCACAGATTGTTTAAAAGAGAAACTTTCTCGACAACACTCTTGTTAATGAATAAATCATACCATTAATGACTGCAAGTTTGTTTTTCTTCTTTACTCGTTTTTTCTTCTTGTGGCTGATGAACCCTGGAATGGGGCACCGGCCATCTGCGGTCTGTGCGTGTGTGTGTGTGTGTGTGTGTGTGTGTGTGTGTGTGTGTGTGCGACTCTCAGAGTGTGTTTGTGAGCTGTGGTCCAGCGTCCACTGGGGAGACTCGGCTGCTGCCCCACTTTCCTCGCTCTCATGTCGGACCGGGACCATCTGACGGGGCTAAAGACCAGTGTCACATGTCTATATTTGGCCGCCGTCGCCGCCTCTGCCAGAGCTCAGCGCTGCAGTTGTTTTCCAAAATGCACGGGGCAATCGATGATAATGAGGAAGGACATTTTAATTAGGGCTGTCGCAACCTGGGGACGACATGCGGGCTCGCTCGGCAGGGGGTGAGAGGGAGGACAGGAGGGGGTCTGGTCACCATCACACCTCCTTCTGGGAGTTTGACTGGTGAAAGTCTCGCTGAATTTTTAGGAGGAAATTAAATTAAATCTGCAAAGAGGGCCGCGCAGAGAGGAGGTTTGTTCAAATCTCTGAAATACTGACTGAAATAAGACGCACAGTGGACGGTGTTGTAGTAATACTCTTAAAATTAGATACATGAGGAGTTAAAATACTAAAGCTGGGAGAGAAGAAGTCACTGGAATAAGAGGAAAATACTATATGGAGGCGTTTTGAGGGGAAAAACTGACCTGAGGGGTCACAAAAGAGGAGGAGGAGATTATCATCTAGGGCTGGGCGATATGTCCTCAAATCAACATCACGATATATTGATCAGTTCACCTCAATAACGATAAATGGACGATAACTACTCTGGACTGGATGGGATGGAGTCACGACCAGCCTTCAGCCAGTTTAACCGAACGCAGCCTTACGTACAAACACCTTGGCATGTTTCCACCTGTGCGATAGAACGTCGTGGTGTTACGAAAAAAAAACAGAAGCTGCAGCAACAGCTCCTGCTAGTGGTGGGAGGCTGCACTACAGCTTAAGCCCCAAACCCACAGGATTCTGAAGCTAAGAAGTAAGGAATTATCGCCTTATTCCGATTAAGACCGGACAACTGAGATTCATGTAAACACCTCAGTCCGACTAAAATCAGAGTTTGAGAACTCTGATTAAGACACCCAGATGATGTGATTGGAATGTGATTTTCTCTGCCATGTAACCAGCGTAAGTCGGAGTATGATCGGATCAGAAAAAGTAGCGCGTCCATCATTTCGGACAAAAACATCGCTGTACGATGCTCCATCTTCTTGTTTCTCCAAAATGTCCAGCAGCAGTTGTAGACACTTCTGACGTCTGACACCGACCTGCAGTTGTTGTTGACGGTTGTATGGGGTCGGAAACAGCGTCGCTCAAAAGACCCATATCGCCCCCTAGTGTTGGGGGGGGATTTGATTTTCTCAGCTGCATGTAAACGAGGACAAGGAGAGAAGTCTGATTCGCTGAAAGAAACTAATTATGAGTTTAGTCCGATTAAACTGTGCATGTAAACGCTGTGAGCCCAACTTATGACCAACATTTCAGGCCTACAATGATGATGAAAATATTAATTATCGGTTAAACTGAGGAGTAATTCTGGTGCAAACTAGCAAAAGAAACAAGAGCTCTGAACGCTGTCATGCCCGACCGTAAACTTCTTGGAAAGTTATCTCGATGTCAAACACTCAGAATCAAAAATAATAACACAAATGCAAAACCCTTAATGAGTGGCCGTCGGCTGAATCAACATCAATTTATGTCATTTTGCAAAAGAAAAGCAAATTAAACCAAATAAGAGATCTTCAATGTCCAAACCCTCAGTCATTCAGCTCGACAAAGACGTCGACTTTCGGCTCTTTAGCTGCAGGTTGGCAACTTCTCAGAAGAAACTGTGCTTAAATTAGAAAGGGAAAATCTGTCCACATTTCTTACAAGAATAAAAGAGACAGCTAACGCTAACATTTCTGCATAACAACCATGCACACTGCTGACATGCAGCCCGGACAAACACGTTCCAGCCTTCAGAATCTGCTGCCATGCCTGCAGGTTATTTTAAGCTATTTGCGCATTGTGAAATCAAGTGATAAAAAAATCAAGAGGACAAAACTCATATCTTCTATCGCTCTAACGCAACTTGAAATGTGCAGAAAAGTGCCTGCAGAAAAGGACAGAGTTCTGAAAATGAAACTCATTAAACATCTGAAGTCATTTCTGTATGTGTAAGAAAAGAGGGAGCAGAAAAAAAGACCGTGAATTTCAAAAATAGGGCTGTGTAGAATTAAAAATTGATTATGTCATAGGGGATTTAGATGATAATATGCATGTGTGAGGAAAGCCATCCTGCTCTACATTTACAGGTCTTTTGGTTCACACTCGCAGCCAGAAACTGACTTCTAATGAGATCAAGAGAAGAATAAACTTTAACTTAGAGATCAGGAGCATCACAGGCAATCAGCAGAGAGGATCCCGCTCCAACAAAAACCTCTTTGTCTCAGAAATGTTTATGTATATTAGCGATGTGCAGGGACAATGAATCTTTCATGAAGGTGAAAAACTGTACTTTATACGTCCTGGCTATATATGTGCGCAGCAGATGAAAACAAAGCAACAGTATTTAATATTCATCCTACATCCCCGAGCAAAAGCTAAACAAGGTGTGGGAAGAGAAGCCTGTGCAGAATCACACCGAAAAGATGCAAAAGTTTGGAGACACTGCATAAATTAACTCGGCGTTTTTTCGCGTGTGTGCACAAACAAGAGCACAACAACAAATCCACAGCTTGAGCCCGGGCACTTCTTCACCTTATGAGAAAAGGAAACGGGCTGAAAAACCTGGAAAAAGCCAATGGCGAGTCGAGTCGAGTCGAGTCGCACTCGGCTCGCTAATCAAGTAAAGGCAACATCAGAAAGAATAGGTAATTTGAGACACAAAAAGAATAAGTAATTTGGAAGGCACATACCCAAGTGGCCAAATTATTTATGCCTAATGGAACGGGGGTGTGCGCATTCATTTGCAATTAACTGATCTGCTCTATTACCTGTCACTGGAAATGCTCGCTAATGTGGCTCTGCGACGCCTTTAATTACAGTCTGAGGTGTGGAGGCACTTCCTGCCGCACCGCCGTGGCTTCCTACCTCTCTTTTCCGGAGTCGGTCTGAGGAGAAACTCTGGATTCAAACCAACTCTCTACTGATTTGGGAGGAAAAACAGGGACGTTTCTGTGACATAAAGCAGAAAAAGTCTCTTTTAAGATCTTGGGTTGAATAATTGACTCGTTAAAACCTCGTTACAGTCTCTCACTTTGGTTTAAACCTTAAAAACAGGCTGCAGGACGGCTTCATGTCGAAAACTCAAACGATCAAATCTGGGGAAAAACATCAGGGCTTGACAGTGCCACCATTTCACTCGCATTTCCGACTAAGAATAGATGTGTGCGAATTGTAAAATGTATTTAGGGTCACGTGTGCATAAAAAAAACAGCCAAGGTGACAAATGTTTTTTCCTGTAAATACGGCAGTGAAGTTAGTTTTAGGTTGGATATATTTTCCTGTAAATACTGCGGTGAAGTTAGTTTCAGGTTGGATATATTTTCCTGTAAATACTGCGGTGAAGTTAGTTTCAGGTTGGATATATTTTCCTGTAAATACGGCGGTGAAGTTAGTTTCAGGTTGGATATATTTTCCTGTAAATGCGGCGGTGAAGTTAGTTTCAGGTTGGATATATTTTCCTGTAAATACGGCGGTGAAGTTAGTTTCAGGTTGGATATATTTTCCTGTAAATACGGCGGTGAAGTTAGTTTTAGGTTGGATATATTTTCCTGTAAATATGGCGGTGAAGTTAGTTTTAGGTTGGATATATTTCCCTGTAAATACGGCGGTGAAGTTAGTTTTAGGTTGGATATATTTTCCTGTAAATACGGCGGTGAAGTTAGTTTTAGGTTGGATATATTTTCCTGTTAATACGGTGGTGAAGTTAGTTTTAGGTTGGATATATTTTCCTGTAAATACGGCGGTGAAGTTAGTTTTAGGTTGGATATATTTTCCTGTAAATACGGCGGTGAAGTTAGTTTTAGGTTGGATATATTTTCCTGTAAATACGGCGGTGAAGTTAGTTTCAGGTTGGATATATTTTCCTGTAAATACGGCGGTGAAGTTAGTTTTAGGTTGGTTATCTGACGGACATTCTCTGAGGATCTACCGGTGTCTTCTCACTCTTCATAACCGGGAATAACAACAGCAGCGCGGTTAAATCTACTCGACACCCTCACTGTCAACATCAGTGTTGAATAAGGGACCGTCAATAAATTACCGGTTGATGTTCTCGAAAGCTTCCATGTCATGTGACCAAAAGACCTAAAATTGATTTCTAATAATAGTACTAAGGTCGGACGATAAGACACACCTCTTGTGCCCCTAAAGTTCTTTGTGTGCTCCTTACTTTTCCAACTTAGGAGCACACATGAAAAAAGTTAGTGTCAAGCCCTGAACATCATGTCTCTATTCAGCAGTAATATCATCACATAAAGACAAGATCAGCGTAAAACAGGCTGAAAACAGACGGTCAGCAGGTTACAGCAACAATCTGGATATCTGCATAGCTGGAACCCTCAACTGTACGTGTTTCCAACAGATACCTGTTCATGTTGTTCTTGTTGTTAACACTGTTTAGCCTCTACACTATCATTGGTAAAAGTCCAAATGAAGCAGAAACTGTGCAGCGTTCACAGGTGGACTCAAAGGCTGAAATCTTCCTCCACAAAAACACAGAGGGGTTTATTTTCTGCGTTTTGCTCGTGGCAGCTTTTGCACATTGCCTCGAACACGTTGAGCATGAAAACCTCCCTCTGCAGAGACGTACATCTGCAAATGTTACTCTTCAAATATATGTAATGAGCCCGAGAGCTGCTGGGGCTCTGATTGGCTCCCTCCAGCCTGCGGACCCAGAGGAGGCTCCCTTAAGAGCAGGTCTCCTGTTAAGTATGAGATCCCTGAGAGGAGAAGTCTTTGAAGGTCTCTGCTTACTTTAAATATATCCCAACGTCTGGGGAATATAATGGCTTCCATATATAATTAAGAAGCTCGCCACGTTAGAGAGTTTATGCGTCTTTGTGCCGCCGCCGCACCTTAATGGCTGCAGCGGCGGCGGTTCAGCTGCTTTATTTAGAAACGCTCCAGTCGACGACGACGACATTTACATTTTAGATTGAGTTTCCTCAGAGGACGCTCTCATACAGAGAACATGGAGGGAAACCACAGAGGAGAAGCAGCCTATAGTGGAGAAAGTAAAGGTCAAAGGTCACGAGGATACAGTATAAAAGCATGAATCAAAGAGAAAATAGAGCAGAAAATCAGGGGGGAGGTAGTTCCTGAAGAAGAACGTCACATAAGGATCACGTCTCTCTGTGATTTCACAGACATTTACTGAAGAGCAGCAGCCGGAGCCCCATGTCAGACAATCCTCCTAAAAAATGATCACTGAGAGTCAGCTGATCCACCAAAGAGCTGAGGAGAAACGAAGCACCAGGCCACAAATCTGGACTTCACATGATAGACTGTGTGGAGACAGACCAGAAAAAACTTAGGCTCCAGGTTCACCTTCAAACTAGAACTCCCCATGTGTTCATTTCTCTGTTATCAGCTGGATCTGAACCATTTTAGAGGTTCATGTTTCTGTCCATCGTTTTCAATTTCAGATGATTTAAAGTCACTAGAGTCATTTTAACGAGGGTTGCACGATATACCGTTTGAGCATCGTCATGGCGATGTACGCGTGCACGATAGTCACACTGCAGAGCCTGACAAACACTGCATGTTACTCTGCATGTGCTGTGCAGCGATCCACCAATCACATTGGTTCTTTACTCAGGTGCCAATCAGTCTACTCTGCCAGCCGTCAATCAAAATCAGAGAAGAGGAAACCACGCCCCTGCACATGGAGTGAGTCGCCGGTGTCATGCCGAGAAACGCGTATCCGCCGAGAATTACTTTGGGAACATTCCTCATCACTGTTTAGCCGCACAAATAAGAACTGTATGGGTTTGAAATCGAACATTTCCGTTGACCACTCTACTATAAGCTTTGCACGTTTTGCGAGGTGGATGAAATCCTCAGCGAGCATCCGTCTCTCGAAACAACAACAACGATTGCAAAATGAGTGACGAACAAGATAAAACCACAGAAAATCAAGACTTGTTGCAACGTCAGTTATCTTGAATTATTCCTGTTGCAAGAAGGATGATGTCGACTAAAACACGTGTTCTGTGTTCATCTGTTTCCACAATAACATCCCAGAACAAGAAAAACTAAAAGTATCTCTGAGACAGACAGAAGCCGTTCTACTAACATTCACTGAAGAGGGAAGATCAGAGCAGGTTAACTGTCCTCAAGATTTCAGCAGAAACTCAGATTCAGATCATCTTTTAATATCGTAATATAAATCGTAGGGTTGAAAAGAATCGCAATGTCAATTTTTTCCAATATCGTGCTGCCAAATTTTAAAATTGTCATCTGAATAAATATCAGAGTTTCAGGAATTTATTATCTACATCAGCGACAGCTCAGCTTCTCAAAAACAGGATTTAAAAGAGACGGATCAGAACAGAAGAAGACTGAATTCTGTGTGATCCAGGGATAGAAGGCCTCCTCTGTGGATAATAAAACATCATCTTGAGAGTAAAACGTGACAAAGTGAGATAATGATTGACAGATTTCACTGAATCTCATCTGTTTCAGTCTGATTGGACTCTGTTTGTTTTATCTTGAATCTAAACTCCTCCACATTCGCAGTGACTGCTCAAACTCGCCGTCAAGTGTTGCGCTCTGAGTTTGTTTTTGCACCACCTGCTCCAAGATCCGAACTTAAGCTTTTAAGACCGGCAGCTCGTCCCCTCTTTTGGACCCCGAGCCTCGCTGCCTCGGAGCCTCGGACTCTCCTCCTCGGCGTGCCGTCAAACTTTAGGGGGAGCTCCGGGGGTCCATCGGCAGGAAACGAGCGCTAATTGTGCTAATGAGCTTGTTTGGATAAGCCTCGGTTTCCTCGCCCCCTCCGGAGCCACGAGCGGCCATCTGACTTCCAGAGACGGCGGGTTAAGTGAGACACACTCGGGACGGGTCTTCACTGACAGGGACGGGCCCCGGTTTGAGGGTCTGGTTTACCCGCAGCATCCATCAGCAGTAATAAAGCTCTCTGACACAGCGGCCTGCGCTCATCCATCATCGCTCATTTAAGATACAAGTTTGGCTCCAACGTGACACAAGTGAGGGATGATTGCCATTAGAGGCAGATCTTTTGTTTTGATGGTCCCTCTTAATGGGGTTGCATTAGGGGGAAGTCCTAGGGGCCAGTTTTTGGGTGATTAAGCAAGCAACACATTTACAAGTCTCTAATTGAGAGAACAATGCCAGGAACCTACAGAGTGCAGAGCTGTAATGAACTGAGGCTCCCTCAACTAGCTTTATGATGAGCTCTCAGACAACAACACAATGCTAAAGTGCTTCCTCCTGATGCCGACGAGGAGGAGGAAGAGGAGGAGGAGGAGCTCCACGACGATGAAGATACAGAGGAGTGATGGGAAAACCAGGAGACTGATCCGGGAGGTCCGAGGAGAAGTCTCAATCTGAGTCTGAATTTGGACAAGGCTTCTCAGAGGTGATTTCCGGTTTGAGCAGAAACTTTTCTGGAAGTTATTTTCGTCAAAGTTTGGACACCGAGCGGCGGCTGATCTTGACATCAAATATTGACGGTACAAACTCAACAGATGGGAACAAATCTTTGACTAACAGAGAGAGAAAACAAATGCTGATCAACAAATCGAGTTTTGATATTCTTGACAGGAGAAATAATCTGCGTCCGTTTCCACCTGCCTCCACACAGCAGTGCAGATCTGCTGACCTTTCATAAACTCTGTTACCACCAAGTTTCACTGCGATTTTCGCCATCCGCCAATTCCTACCGGATCTGTTGGTGAGGCGAATTTCATGGTGGATTACGAACAGCAGGAATCACAAGAACTCACAAGAACCTGTGGATTCATGTTCAATCGCACAATAACAAGTTGTCTCTATAAAGACACATAGACATATAAGCAGTAGATTGTGTCCTTCCAGAGGAGGAAATCTACTTCTAGACTTCTAGAATCAGCATCTCCTCATCCATGGTGTCATCGGGGTGAAATGACGTCTAAAAACCTTTCACTTGTTCGTCTCCGCCCGTTTGCATGGTGTGAAATACGATCCTCCTGAAACACGGAGTGTTTTATTTTGAAAAGAAGCCGGATGTTTTATTTTGTGTCTGTGCCCGACTTCCTTTCCAGCACGGGTTAATCTGTGCTGAATTTATCCGCCATGAAAAATAGAACTCTTGAGATCAGCTGTGGAGTCCAGTGATCCGCAGAGGAACAGAGAGAAGTCGGTGTAAATCGACTTGAATGGTTACGATCAGCTACGATCGGAGGATACGACATTTTTCGGAGCCGTTCTGGCTGCGGTGGAAATTGGGTGTCAGACTTTCCAGGATGTTTAAAAAATGAAGCATGTTGTTGATATTTGCAGTGGATGAATGAAACATGCTCTCCGCTCTCAGTCGATGCGTCCTCGTCTTTGTTCGCTCTGAAGTGAAATCAGGTTAAGTGGAGGATGTCAGACTTCTCTCTGTTATCTCAGGTTGTTGTGAGCCGTCTCGTGCCCTAATTAGGGAGCCAGCCAAATGAAGCAGTAGTCACCTGAGATGAAGGACACATCCTCGGTGCCAGGAGACGCGCACATTTGATTTTTTATTTATATTTCTGCGCCCGTGCCGTAATAAAAGTGGGTCAACGAACAGATTTGCAGAAACCAACTCTGAAACATCCGTGTTGTCTGTGTGTCTCTGGTTAAACATAGTTTTGTATCCGACTCCCCAGTGCCAATTACTCATTAAAAATGTTTAACAACATTTTAATTGAAGAATTAATTACCTTCGGCTGGGCAAAATCCTCCTAAATTTCATCTGGGGAGTCATCAAATGTGCAGAGGAGCAGCCGTGGATGAAGTGTCAGGGAGTGGGTGGTGGTGGTGGTGGTGGTGGTGGTGGTTGGCGCGGGAAGATTACATCAGCAAGGAAATGTAGTCCACTGTGAGTCACCGGCGAGATGCACGTGATAATTCATGAGTAAACACAT